TTTTCTCTTATTAATTATTTAAAAAAGTCTAAGAACTAATTGCAATTTTTCTATGCAGAAGTTTTATTGAGTAATCAGCCGTTCTGATGCTCTCTGATTGGACTATACTAATTTTCCTGAGGTATACCTCAGAGTAAGGACAAGATAGACTAAATCCCTTTTCAGTCTCTGGTTTGGGACGTCTTCTAGAATAAAGCAACGGTTTATCAATAAAAACTGTTGTCATCCCTGCAACAAATTGAGTATTGGTTTTGTAATAAATGACATGACGATCCTTAACTGTTTGAATCTAACCCCACCCCTAACCCTAACCCCACCCCTAACTTTCTATCTAGATAATGAATAGAAAAAAACATTTCTATAATCTACATAGAATATATATAAATATATATAAATATAAATATATGAGGACATGTGGCAAATAGAGCTTTGTGTAAGTATTTACCAGCGAAAAGAGTTTAAGAGTTCTGGAAATGTTTTTTTTCCTTTTTACGGGGGCCAACTATAGTTTTGTTGTGTGAAAACTACAATAGAGAAACTCTTCATTTTTATACCATATAAAACTTAATTAACTTCAGTGTACATGCAAAGTTTGGGAGAAATCTATCATCCAGGTATTTTAGGGACCGTCTCAAAATACAGGTAGATTTACTATAGGTTTATATAGGAAAACGCCATTTTTTAGCACTTTAAAGCAAATTATACAAATACTACAATAGATATTTTGTTCAAACTATAATATTTGATGAATAATACTACAATATACAATATACGTAAGAAACACAAAATTCTACCGTCTTGTTACCAGAGGGGGCATCTCATAATGCAAAAAATTAGCAAATTTTACTATTTTTATAGAGTATTACAAAATATGACGTACACAATGGATTCACATGAAAACATAATTAAAAATATTGGAGATATTCTCAAATTTTCATGTTTTAAATTTCAAGAGCGTATGTTTATTACATTTTTTTAAATATAATTTTTATTACCCCTTCCTTTAAGAGCTTCAGTGTATCATAACCTCAAAAACATACAGCAACGACGTCAACCTACCTATAAATTGCAAAATCGGTTAAAAATCAGTTATATCAAATTGTAATTACATTTTTATACCTAAAATTTCTTAATTTTGGTAAATTATAATAATTAAGCGAAAAAGTTGCATTAAAACAGTAAATACGCTTCATTTTACTATGATGCGCAAAATATTGCGCGATGGAAACTATAGTCGGCCCCCTTAAAAAATGTTCATATTTGGAATTTTTCAGTTTGCACATGTAGTTGCAAAAAATACTTTTAAATGTGTGACAATTTTGGAAAAAAAATCAACATTTTTATTTGCCAACATTTTCTTTTTCGCAGAAAAGAAAAATATTCTTTGGAGACCAGGTTTTCCAACATTCTATTAAAATTCTCTTAAATACAAATTTTGCTCCGTTATTAGCAGACCTAATTTTGTATTCATAGGAAGCAGAATTTGTGCAAAATCTTTTGTTTGAAAACTCAACTCGACATTTAGATATATCGACGACGTATTGTCAATTAACAATGGTCATTTCCAGATATATAATCTTTCTATATACATGTGTATAATATGAAAGAAATTTAATCACATTTTTTACCCACATAGCATGCAATATGGCCTATCAGACGCCTGTAAGATTGTAAAATCGGGCATTATACTTTAGAATGAACCTTTGTTCAATTTTTCTATTGTAAAAATAGAACATACTTATTGTTGGAATTGAAAAATCTTATCTAAATACGCTACGCTTTCAAGTTTCCTCGAGATAAAATATATATAAAAAAAAACTTCTTAAAAAATGGTTAAAATGGGTCTGAGAATAAAATGTGTGAAAATAAGGAAAATTAAACGGTTACTTTCAGATATTTTGGCGATCAAAAAAAAACTTTATTGCAAAAAAAACTGAAAGGTTAAGTATATGACGTCACAATAATTGACTTTTATGTATCTGTATCTGGCCTTGACTTTTACAGTAAATTTAAAATGGAGACTCCTAATACATGTTTTTCCAATATCGGTACTCTACTATTTGTGGAACATATCTGGTCACCGCATTAAATAACAGACCATTACACGCGTCTATATTGCATTTAAACAGCAAAAACACACACTAAAATGTTAACTCTCAAATGCCAAATTCTTAGAATTCTCTATTTTTATCACATGAAAACATGCAACAATTTATTATTTTTCTTACAAATATCTGCTTTACGGTGTGAAGACGAATAATGACCCCCATCAAATAATGACCGGGGGTCATTTTTTGACAGCGAAAAATGACTCCCGGTCATTATTCGACGTAGAAAAATGACCCTTTTGCCCATAAAAAAGTGTCACCACCCTTGAAATTTGCAGAACCCACGTGAAGAAAAATGACCCCCGTAGAAAAATGACTCCCTGTGGATTAAAGCTGAAATTTTAAGGGGACAAAAAAAATTTGATAAAGAAGCATACTGGCCAAAATACTCACCTGAGCTTATTTGGAATAAATTGATATGTTGATCTCATAACATACGATCATAGCTATATTTTAAGGCTAGTGCGATGATTCAGAATCTAAAGGAGTAAAGATTTATCGAGCCTTAAGGTTTAGGTAAACATTGTTTTTCAATGGTGGAAATCATCGTGCTGACACTAAAAATCATCAGTATCATGTATTATTTATCCTCCGCTTGAAAAGCGGGAGGGTATATAGTGATGGGGATGTCCGTCCGACCGTCTGTTACGCTTTGGGGTATCCATCTGTTATCTGCAACTCCTCTTATATATAAAAGATGTGTTTGTGAAACAGCTATGCCCCTCTATGGCAACATAGCGAATATTAAACTTTTCTTAAATGCAATTTAAATATAATGGTACCCAAAGTAGGGTCTTCTTACAAGAAATAAAATTGCAAAATAGGAAAGCACTAGCACCACTTGTTCAAAATTAATGGTTAAGGATAAGTGTTTGAAATGTAGGTCAAACTCAAAGGTCAAAGGGTCAAAGTTTATGGTTTCTTAAGAAAGGTTTAATGTAACAAGGATTACATTTGTGAAGTATAAGAGTACTAGTATCTACCGTTTAAAAGTTATAGCCAAAGTAAATTAAAATTTGGCATTTTTGTGTAAAATGGGACAAACTCCAAGGTAAAGGTCAAAAGGTCAAATTTGGTAGTACCCAAAGTAAGGTCTTGTCACAAGGAATATACACATATTGAATATGAAAGGTATAGCTACAATAAATGAAAAGTTATGGTCAAGGTTAAGTTTTTGCAGAGAAACAGACCGCCAGATAGAGACAGACAGACATACAACGACATGATAAAACTATATACCCCCTAATCTTCAATTACCGGGGCATAAAAAGAAATGGTATTCTATTAACTTTTCATATTATGATACAGTATAAAGAAGACGTTTACAAAACTGAAAATGTTTGTTCTGATTTTCATATTCTTTGAAAAATATACTCAGAACTGGGTAAAAGGATGGAGTAAAACAAGAATTAAGAAATGTAATGAATACTGTGTGCTAAATCAAGAGGTTATATCTACATGTATAGTTTTTGCATTAGAATGTGTATTTTACACTAGCCCATAGCTTTACAGAGCATATTTTTAGGTGTTATACCCACCCCACCCCCTTTACTTATTTAGAAGGAGGAAGTCGATTATCAACAAAAGCGTCAAAAAAACTACCCTACCTTTATTTTTCTATAAGGAGACTAAAATAAGCTTAAAATAATCTACTATTCTCTTAATTTTCAACTGTTACTTTACCACAATACTTTCAATTATACCCCCACCAACATTTGGAGTATGCTTTAATCATGGCGAAATAAATTATGATATGATGGAACTTGTGTGAAGGCTTAAATCATTTCAATATTTTATCTAGAGCCTCTTTCAGTATTATTGAAAGGTATAGAGTTTCATTGATATTTTTGCTTTTCATTTATTTATTTTGTTATTGTTGTTGTTGTTTTGATTTAACGTATTTTTTTGGGGGGAGGGGTTAAAAATCTCCTCCTCTTTCATTGTCAAATAGGATTTGCCAAACCTATACAAGCTAAACATTGACATGAAGGAAAAATTTAATTTTTGTATTAAATCATATTGGAACCCGATTGTTGCATGGTTTGATTTCTAAAAACAAGTGGAATATCATTCTTTAAGCAAACACTATAAGGAGGAATATTAAAAAGAAATTTTAAAAAAAGACATTTTTTGGATTCAAATTTTCTAATCAGGGTCAAATTTTTATAGGACTAACATATACCTATAATCTATGCATTTTTCTACAAAAAATATATTTTCCTACGGGTAGGGGGTCATGTGTTTTGAGTTTGTATAAGTACATTAGAATTTTCGATGGGGGTCATTATTCGTCTTTACATCGGCACCAGCTCTGTGTCGACTGTAAAACTCAGTCTGCAACCGTTAAATCATCACAGCCTCCCCTCCAGGGACATCAGTACAACACCGGAACAACAGTGGGATCCTTGACCTGTCATTGGTACTGCTCAAGAAAGACCCAGCAGTCTCAGTTGTCATGGAGACTGCTTTGACACTCATTTGTGAAAAAAGGTTCTTATTGACTGTCACAATTTTCATTCATTTTATTGTGTTGGTTATGGCGTACCATAATTTCATTCTCACCGTATAGTCGTTACGGATAGCTGGTCACGGCTGTCAAGGAGTGTGTCACTCACTGTGATTTAGAGCAGGCCGTACAAATGAGAAGGTTTGTCCTTCATAGTAAAAAGTTGTATGACCTTTGTGGTTGCCTGACATCGAGTAGCTGTATGCAGTTGGCCTAAATGTTTGGTGTATGTGTTCAAGAAGTTTTCCTGTCTGGAAATTACACTATTTTGAGTACCCTCTTGGCAGCGGTCTCCTAAATGTTTACAGTCTTAGCTAGGTTTTTTTTTTTTTGTTTTTTTTTTTTCTTTTGCCTAAAGTTTTTACTTTGTTTAGTTTATGTCATTGGTGATGGATAGTTCCTACAACAATCAGCAGTGTACTTGTACAGCTACTCACAACCTCCTAATCAACACTAAATCAAGGAGTGTGTCACTCACTGTATTTTGTAAGACAACTATATCATTTTAGTAATACATATCACCTTTCTTTTACATCTCTCGGATGCATGCATAATATGTAATTATCTTTAATTTTAAATTATAGATCCTCCATCCACTGACCCTCTCATCACAGCCTCTCCTGAAGGTCTTCAGTACAACAATGGAACTAGAGTCACCTTGACCTGTCAACTTCCAGGAGGAAACCCTGTAGCCACGTTGTCATGGAGATGTAAAAACACAGTAATGACAGGAACCAATCAGAGTAACTCTACTACAGCTGTCTCTGTGTTGTCATTGGTGATGGATAGTTCCTACAACAATCAGCAGTGTACTTGTACAGCTAATCACAGTCTTCTTAACAGGCCTAAATCAAGGAGTGTGTCACTCACTGTATTTTGTAAGACAACTATATCATTTTAGTAATACATATCACCTTTCTTTTACATCTCTCGGATGCATGCATAATATGTTATTATCTTTAATTTTAAATCATAGATCCTCCATCCACTGACCCTCTCATCACAGCCTCTCCTGAAGGTCTTCAGTACAACACCGGAACTACAGAAACCTTGACCTGTCAAATATCAGGAGGAAACCCTGTAGCCACGTTGTCATGGAGATGTAAAAACACAGTAATGACAGGAACCAATCAGAGTAACTCTACTACAGCTGTCTCTGTGTTGTCATTGGTGATGGATAGTTCCTACAACAATCAGCAGTGTACTTGTACAGCTACTCACAACCTCCTAATCAACACTAAATCAAGGAGTGTGTCACTCACTGTATTTTGTAAGACAACTATATCATTTTAGTAATACATATCACCTTTCTTTTACATCTCTCGGATGCATGCATAATATGTAATTATCTTTAATTTTAAATTATAGATCCTCCATCCACTGACCCTCTCATCACAGCCTCTCCTGAAGGTCTTCAGTACAACAATGGAACTAGAGTCACCTTGACCTGTCAACTTCCAGGAGGAAACCCTGTAGCCACGTTGTCATGGAGATGTAAAAACACAGTAATGACAGGAACCAATCAGAGTAACTCTACTACAGCTGTCTCTGTGTTGTCATTGGTGATGGATAGTTCCTACAACAATCAGCAGTGTACTTGTACAGCTAATCACAGTCTTCTTAGCAGGCCTAAATCAAGGAGTGTGTCACTCACTGTATTTTGTAAGACAACTATATCATTTTAGTAATACATATCACCTTTCTTTTACATCTCTCGGATGCATGCATAATATGTAATTATCTTTAATTTTAAATCATAGATCCTCCATCCACTGACCCTCTCATCACAGCCTCTCCTGAAGGTCTTCAGTACAACAATGGAACTAGAGTCACCTTGACCTGTCAACTTCCAGGAGGAAACCCTGTAGCCACGTTGTCATGGAGATGTAAAAACACAGTAATGACAGGAACCAATCAGAGTAACTCTACTACAGCTGTCTCTGTGTTGTCATTGGTGATGGATAGTTCCTATAACAATCAGCAGTGTACTTGTACAGCTACTCACAGTCTTCTTACCAGCCCTAAATCAACGAGTGTGTCACTCATAGTATTTTGTAAGTAAATATTTTTCTATATGTGTCAGTTATTATTGCAGTTCTAATTAACTCGAAAATGTGTAACATACAAAAGGTCATCTTTAATTTTTTTTTTTATAATAGGGATTATAAATTAATAATTTGAATATAACAGTTGTTAACTCGATTATTTAGGGTATACTAGTATTAAACCTTTCAACTGCAAGAATAATTATTGAAGATAACATGGGAACGAGTGTGACATTATTATTTTTCATAGTGAATATGAATAGGGTCAGTTTGCTTAAAAGCTTGTGGCACGTCGTCCTCAGGCAAACATTATAGTTCTTGGGTCTACAAAATGCATGTCACCCTCAGACTTTAGTTTTAGCATAAATTTAACATGAGTATGATACAACAAATTTCACAATACTTAGCCATTCTTAAAAATGTCATCTATGTCTAGCAAAACAGCAGGAATAAAGCTGGTCAAGAGAAGTTACCAGTTTAAATAGAGTTTAATATTCTCATTATTTTCAGATTATTTAAATTATTGTATAGGCAGTGGCGGATTTAAGGGGGGCGCACCCGGCGCGCGCCCCCCCCTAAAATTGTCAAAGTTAGCGTAAATCAAATATGTCTACTTGGTAGACCTCATTTTCACCCTTCAAAATCTCTAGAATCCAGGAGCTTCCGGGGGCTTCGCCCCCTGGACCCCCACCAGGGCTTTGGTAGACCTCATTTTAACCCTTCAAAATCTCTAGAATCCAGGAGCTTCCGGGGGCTTCGCCCCCTGGGCCCCCACCAGGGCTTTGCCCTGGACCCACTGGGGGCCTCAAGGCGGCCCCCAGACCCCTTGCCTAATTTTGGCGCCCCCCCTAACTCCAAATCCTGGATCCGCGCCTGATAGGTATCTATACTGATTACAGAAAATAGTTTCTAATTAGACAAATTTAAACTTGCTTTATTAACAATAATAGAAGACAAAATTTGCAGTAGATGAAAAAACTAACAACAATAATATTGTATACAAAGAACACCTGATGATGTCATTGGTTCAGGTACTAATAAGGTATTAGTATATAAAATTGACTGTGAAAATGGTTTGCAAAAAGTATGTTGACCAACATTAAAAATAAAAGAGAATAGCGTCATGGAAAATTGTCAAATTAAAGCCAATCAATAAGAACTCAAAATCTAAAGTAATAAAGTAATTGAAAATTCAACCATATTCAGATACTTACATTTCCAAACCGTTTTTTTTTTTACTTTGTTAAGAATAAGTGCCAATTAATTGCAGATAACGGATATTATATTAACTATCACGCATTTGCATTTGTGAAAGTTTTTCACTTTTTTAACAAAACATGTAATTCATACAAACAGTAATCATCAAGTAAATTCATACCTGATGTATTTAAAAAATGTATTAAAAAAGGTGTTTTTGTATTTTAAACTGTATTTATGACTAATGCATCACAATGTTTTCTATGTTTATTACGATTGAACTTTTCTTTATTCTCAGAATAAAAATTATAATGTTCACGCTTCTTTGGAAAGCTAACACATGTAAAATTTTATAGTTTCAGTAACATCAGCAACCCTGACACCAAACCAGATAACTGTGGATGCTGGTAAACAGATAAGTCTTACCTGTCAGACTGATTACTGTTACCCAGCAGCCAACATCACGTGGTACAAGGCATCAGTCATTCTGGCCACGCCCACTACAGATACTACTGACACCAACAGTAATGGCCTTATAAGGTCGACATCAGTACTACCACTCTAAAAAAAGTTTTACTTGTTGTTTTTAAAATAAGATATTAGATTAAGAAAAAATAGTAATTATTAGTAATCCATTTAGTCAGAATAGCAAGTAAATGACTATCATGGTTAGTAATTGTAAACATAATTAGTAATAAGGATGAATTCATTTACTTATAAAATGATTTACTAAGTATCAATAGAATTACTTAAATTATAGGAATTGTATTACTTTAAGTTAGTAAATGAACTACTCATTTTTGTTAATTATTATTACTTAATCTAGAGATTATATGCTTTCTATTTACTAAATTTTATGAATTATTACTAAGTAAATGTAATTCTGAAATTAATTAAAATCTAGAATATTATTACTCAAAAGAATACTAAGTAAATGAAATACTTATCATATTTACTAAAATCGACATTATTTACTAGAAACACTGCAAGGTACCGACCCTCTGACATGTGAGTACTACTCACAGATTTCTGTATCAGAGTTCCCTTATTGGGCCCTCTGAATAGTTTAATAGAAGAAATCTACTTATTGTGGAAACAATTATACTTTCTATTTCTTTTGCCAATTTCTTTGTAATTGTTTTATTATATATAACAATGAAACATTTGATTCCAACTACGAAAGCCTTAAAAATTGAATAAGTTGTATATTTTTAAAGACCATTTTAAAAATGGTTAAACATTTCAAGTACTTAATATCGCATTTTAATTAGTGTTACTTTTTTTCACATGCCGGAATATTTAAAAGAAAGATAACTCCTCCTCACAGACAATTAGTGATTAGACTACCATATTTAAGTAATTTACTGATCTGAATTCTCCTTGATTTAGTAAATACATTCTTGTTTTAAGTAAATCTCCAAGGTCAAAAGGTCAAGGTAATTGGTATCTAATGAAAGGTCTTGCCACAAAAAATACATATGTGAAATATGGAAACACTTGCCTCAACCCTTCAGAAGTTATGGTCAAGGTTACCAATTTTGAAATGTAGGTCAAACTCCAAGGTCAAGGACAAAGTGGCAGATTTGGTGATACTCAAAGAAAGGTCTTGTCACAAGGAATACACGTGTGAAATATGAAAGTCATAGCTCCGCTAGGTTAAAGTTTCTGCGGATAAACAGACAAACAGAGAGACAGCTAGACAGACAGACGGACACGACAAAAACTATATACCCCCGAAAATTCGTTTACGGGGGCATTAAAATAATAATTATATAGTAAATAGTGGTAAAATGTAAGTAAAGACCAAGTAATGTTATTACTTATATAGACAAATTTAAGTAAATATAAATTACTAAGTAAAACGTTTAAGTATGTAAGTAAAACAATTCTTTAAAATACAAAAATCAAGTAAAACATTTGAATCTAGTAATTGACATATATTTCAGTATTTGATTTTAAATTTTAAGTAAATGCTTAGTAATTATCTATTACTTATCTTTGTTATTTCAAGTAAAAAATGACTACTAAGTAAAACTTTTTTAAGAGCTATGTAAATTTTTCAATAACTATATCTACAATCAATGCATAGGAGTACTCATTGATTTGCTCCACAAATACTCGGAATACTTCGGGCACCATCCCGAAAAATGTCACGTACCGACCGCTACGTCCGAGAAGTTCTTGGCCTCTTTTGTAAACTATTACATTGTTTTTAAAAATGTGTTAAAATTCAATTCTTAAGAAAAGATACATTGCATTTAGATGTTTGGGTTTTTTTTACTTTATTTATTTATTTATTTTTTGAAATTTCATCTTTAGCCAATTAAAAAAAATCTTTTTTCTTTATTTCATGGCTTTTTAAATGTGCTGGTATTTTTAGTAGTCCGCGTGTGGGTGTAAAGATTCCTCAATCTTAGCTAGCCAAAGGGGTTTCCGATTTGCTTTACATCTCAACCATAGTAGTTTTCGGATCAGAAAAGCTTGGCTAGCAATAAGATATATAATGCTAATTTTAACTGATTAATTTAAAGCCGAGTCCGACGGCAGTATCTCATCCGTATATCGGCCAAACTATTAAAAAGATGTGATCAGTTAAACTTTAACTAAAAAATGAAATGTTTTCCTTAGACAATCAATACGCTACTGTACTGTTCAATATAAAATTAAGCAATATATTCCAACAATATTTTTTTTGTGTAAAAACTCTTTATAAATAAAATTAAATATGCTGAAAGCTATAACTTCGTTTTTTTTTTTTGTTCTAAAAAATCGGTAAAATAACTTTTATAAAAATCTTCACAAGTGAGAATCATTCTCTGCAAGACCTCATATCTATTTTTATCTATAATTGCAGATTCTGCAAGTTTCCTGCAAGTTCGATAAAGTTGATATGCATGGACCAAACAAATAAAGGGGGGGGGGGGCAAGTGTCCTTTTAAGCAAGAACATTAAATGACACCCTGTCTGCAAAATCAAATAATTATTTTCATTGATGTTTTAGATTTAAATATGAAATTTGAAATAAATAAGTTGTAAGCTAAGATAATAAAAAATTAAGTTTGTAACATTCCACATGAAAGAATTATTTAAACAAAATAAACAGGATTAAATTACCATCAATACTTGAATTCAAAATTAAAAGACTGTTGCACTAATATAATGGCGATATATACGACAAGCATTGCTACACACGCTGTGTAAATATTCGTCTTCAAAACCACATCTTTTCAGCACGTAATCGCAAGTGCGCTGTGGGGAAAAGGATAACATCATCAAAAAGTAACAAATGTAATGCGAGTGTTATGTCACAGACGACGCAATAGGCAAAGAGTTAAAAGGACTTTCTTGAATAAGTACGATTATAATATATAATCCACCAAGTGCTCTCGATTGAAATCTTTAGAAATATGTTAAGATCAGTAAAACTCTCAAAAGTCAAAGCTACTTCAGTATCAAAATAATAACCTATAACATATTATCTACAATATGAAAAATTATTAGCGAATATATATTCAACAAAACGACACAAAAAAATCGCAAGAAGA